TTTGACCAGTGACCTCAAATTCAATAGAGGTTATCTCATCATCATGCCTAACATCCATGCCAAATATGAAGAATGTGGGTCAAAGGATTCTTAAGTTACTGGGTGGACAAGCTATTTTAGTCAAGGTCCCTCTGGCCTTGATCTTTGACCTAGTAACACACAAAAAGTATTTGACGGACAAAGAAAATCCGACGGACGGCCAGACGACCGTACGGACAAGCTAATTCCAGTAACTTTGTTGTGCGGGAGTATAATAACAGCGCCTTCTTTGTGCACTTAAAATCATGTACAATTAGTTACTAAAATAATGATTCACATCTTTCATGATTAAAAGCAATTTCCAAACTTATATTTTCATTAATGTAGGAGGGATTAATAAGTTTAATACATTCGTAGAACTCGATATTTTGTTTACACAATTGAAGATTTGTTTTCATTCATTTTTGTGCAGTGTTAACCTTTGCCTGTTGAATGATAACAACCGCTCAGCCAACAAGCACATTTTGCTCTTAATTCCTATACCATAGACACAAATAGAAATTCAAGTTCGACCACTTAAATCACCCGCCATACAGTTCAGACCCGTGAATTAGTGATTTATATCTGTATACTTGATTTCGGCAAGGCTACTACAGAGGTTTGGTTTGGGGATCAAACAGACATCTCTGAGTTTAAAGACTGCTCAAAAGAAAAGTAAGCTAGATGCATTGAAGTAACGAGGGAATACATTGAACAATAATATTGAAACTATTTTCCAATCTTTGAGTTAAACCGAGGCCCCGTTATGGATCAGGATCAAGATCAGGATCAAATTAAAAAACTGAAATATCCTACATTGTTTATCCTTATAGATTAAATATCTAATATTAATTGGTTAAAATAGATAAATACAGAATCCCTAAAGAAAGCCCAACACGGCAAAATTGAAAATGTTGCAGGCTCGGTTTGATTGAGCCTGTTCATGGACGGTACTGGAAAGTGCAAGTTACCGTCCACGCCCCCTAGCACCGGCTTAAGCAGAATTCAACATTTAAACGTGAAATAGTAAAATTTTGAATTTTGAAACATCCGCAGATGTGTTCATACGGCGGTTATCATGGAACCTTCAATGTGACACTTCCGTGCCATTCCACGAAAAGCGGCGTAAGGTCCCCAAGTAATAAAAAGCGTGTGCCCTAAACGAGAAAACAATGGGCGGAACTAAATAAAATGGAATTTTGAAAGGGGATCAGAGGTTATGAAGCCTGCGTATCACAGATAAGACGTCAAAAGACAAATTTAAAAAGCATGCAACATATCCTAAGGGTGATTCAACATTATTCAAGTAGGAATATTGGAACCACCCGACTAGAAAATGCCGAAAAGTTGAAACTAAAAATACTACAAGCACAACAATAATGTCGTGCTGAACGAACTTCAAGGATCAAAAATATAACATCATTGATTAAAAACTGGACTTGCAATATCAAGTTTATGAAATTTAAGAATAAACTTATTCTTATTTTGCAAGATACAGTCATTTTACAGTTGATCCAATAATTGATCCTGAGCTTAAAATTGATCCATATTTTGATCCAAATATTTTTTTGTATTTTTTATGTTTTTGTTGATTTTGTCCCAAAATAGGTTTTTTCAATGCAAATCAGATTTTTTTTACATTTTGAATGTGTATCATTTCTTTCTAGCCAGAATTTAATTTTTTTGTAACATAAAACAATCAAAACAAGAAAAGCATTGATGCAAAACATCAAAGGGCGTCCAAGCAAGAAATGCAGCAGGTGCAGATGAACTAGTAGATATATGATGACAAGATATTCTTATAAATTGTTCAATGGTTCATTGGTTTTTACCAGTATTGTATATCACTTATGAATGAACGAACGAAAGACATTGTTCATCATTTATAACTTTGATTGGCATGCTAGAAATTAGAATATTACTTGTTATTTCTTTATGATAGTGGTTATTAATAGCAACGGATATACATGTATACAATCATTTATAATCCATATGAGTAAAGCATGATCAACACCACACGCGTGTAATTGTCCCTTATTATGTTATCGCTATTAGCGAAGACCCCCTCTTAAGCTAACTGTTCACACTTAGTAACAATATGACACTTGTTATATTACCATGTTGAGCATAAATGTTTATTATACACTAATTGTAATATCATTTTTAATAAATAAAATACAGATTTTATGAATATTGTTTTCTTTCTTTTTTTTGTGTTTTATGCACTACTTTAATACTGAGTTTTTACGTTTACTACTATTTTAAGAATTCAATTGTCATAATGACCGACGATTATAAGTCAAAACTTAACTGGAAAAAGTCAGTAAATTATGGTTAAACTTTCAATATATAATATTGTTTATTCTTAAACCATATACATGTACATTTGTATTTTTCTTTATCATTTTTTAAATTATCAATCAATTGAATAATTCATAAAATCTGATTTGTAACTTTGAATAATTCCTCGGCATCTTTACTAAACACGAATAACAAATTAAATAAAATGTTTCAAAGTTGATAGTGTCATATTAATGCCATAAAAATGTACATTTTTTCTCAATTATTGTACATATTTATTGTTTTTATCTCATATAGATAAAATAAAACATGCGATTTGTGTTGTTGGTTTTTTTTTCGAATTGTATGTTTATGTATAATAATAATCAATAAATTTGAGAGTTGATCTATTTTTATTAATTATTGTAACCAAACTAGCTAAGTGACAAACATTCATTTTGAAAAAAAGCTTATTTATCTGTAAATTATTTGTTCTGTTCTGTAACGATATCAAACATCTACTCCAAAACCGGAAGAGACCGGACAATAAACGTGTGGTACTATTCGCCGGTCGTCAAAATAGACCAGGAGAGACCGGGAATTACCGACAGGAGTACATCCCTCTATAAATAGATTTTCGGATTATTTAGGTCATCAACTCAACATTCTATCTACAGCGTTCGAAATAACATACCATAATAACCCACTGTGTACTACAAAATGATAAATAAAAATACCCCGAAGAGCGCGATTTATTGACGGAAAAGGTTAATTAATTTGAAAATGTTTGCATTGCGAAATTCTCCAGTTCGCTATTCATTGTACATATCGCGACTAATTGATAATCAAGCACCCTCATACCGATCGGAATGATCGGCTTTTATTATGAACAACTATAAAAGGCTCGAGAAGTTGCTGTCGCCCTTTCACAAAATCTGATTTCATTACATAAAAGGCGCCGCGCTTCGGCGCGGACGCCAATAAAATCAGGAACACCAGATCCTAATCTTTACTTAGTGAACGCTGGAACTCATTGAACTTCCCTTGTATTTGAAAATACATTTTAATCCACAAATATTAAAAGTGCCAGTCTTGTGTGAGTTTTTCATTTTGGTATCCCGTGAAAGATTTTTTCAAACAATCAGTTATTTTCCACATAGAATGGCCATCGTTTATTTCTTTTCGTGTTTTTGAAAGAAATACAGGTAAACAGTTGGTTTAATCTAGTATGAAAGTAAAAATACCATTTTGCTTACATTTTGATATTTGCCTTGTTATGTATGCAACATATTACATGTATATAATTTATATCTGACCAGTTGGTATTTCCAATGTTATCATTGTTCTTTTTTTAAAACATACTACATGTATGTACTAGAACTTTCTTAACTGTTGTAGAAAACTCATGCATAATATTTAGATAGAAATTTCCGGAATGATCGTTATTGTTGAATTTGCTAGATTATGATTACTGTAGAAAATGGAAGACTATTCTAGAAACTTCTTAGTTATATTACAAGTTATTTCATATATTGCTAGCATTATTTAGATAACAATCATTTCAAATGTTCCAATTTCTTTAATCATTACAGAGACGTTGCCGTGACTTTGAATTCTACTTAAGCCGGTGCTATGGGGCATGCGGTAACTTCCACTTTTCAGTACCGTCAACGAACAGGCTCAATTAAACCGAGCCTGCAACATTTTCAATTTTGTCGATTTTGGCGGTCTTAACAATAGGTTAGATGTCATTAGAATGTGTTGATGAGTTTTGCATGATAACATAAGTACCAAAACATACATAGTGTATAATTTGCATGAAATTAGACAGTTAAATACGTAGCACTATTCTTTAAATATTCAAATACATATATCATGTACATGTAAAGATCAGATCAATAAATATTTGGTTTTGTTTTGTGGTCAGATATGTCATTTCTAGGGTCTGACAAATTTTTAAAGATGATTTTCTTCACTTTCTCTCAATGTTTACATTAAATCTGCTAATTGTTCTTAATAGACTTTTCCTTGTTCCCTTTTTCCATTATCAATATTAAGTACATTAAGATCGAAATAAATTGAGTACAATACTGAATTTTATTTGACGCGTACACAGCTGTCAAAGTTGGAGGTAAAAGCCTAGTCCAGTCAAGGTTTTCTAGCTCTGTATGACTCTAATAGAATCAGTATTGTTATATAATGAACTCTATATTTTTGCATAAAGAATTGTTTTGATAATTTTGATAGAATTTTGATTTCCAAAGTACGATGTGGATTTGTTTGTAAGTATTTGGACGTGGGAAATCAAAAACGAGACTAGACGGAGTACAATATATTTACATGAATATTTTGGATCCAGAACATGATAACGAGGCTAAATTGATAAGATTAGATAAATAACGATTTATATTGCAAGATCACATGGTTAAAATCCTGGATGTTTGCTGGTGTCAATCTCATTAAAGTCAGATCACCGTTACTCTTCGTTACGTAGCGTATGGTAGTGAAGCGAAAGTTAGGATATGATCTAAATGAAATTGCATTAGGATATGCAAGAAACTCTATTAAAACTCTTTGAGTTATGTTTATTACAAACACATTTTTTATTTTACCATTGTAACAACATAAATAATAACGAAAATCTCAGATATTATACGTTATTACCCTCCACCAACACATTAATAATGCATTACAATGTGTATTCAAAACTTGAGCCAGTATTCAAGAGCCATGGTTTTAGCTGGCGCGACGGCCAGATCAGTTAGGTAAACTGGAACCCCCGTCAGGTAGGCAGTGTACGCGCCATTCTTGAACACGGTTATTCGCACTTTTGTCACCTTAAGTCCTTGCATGGAACTGAAGTCAGCTTCAACCTACAGCAAAATAAATGTATAAAAAAGTGAAAGTTAAAGTAAATGTCTTATACTCTATAACGTAAAATAAATGCTTAAGCCTGCGTAAATTTGATTGCAAGAATATTGTGTTAAATCGTTTCATCAAAGAAATTAAAAGAATTCAAGCCGTGTATAACATTACTTCTGGCATCATTTCTTCCACTACAATAACCATTGTTGTCATCGAGATCATTAAAGTGAACAAAATTATCCCGTAATGAATAATACTGTCATCACAATCCTGATCATAATCCTTGCCAGAAGTATCGATATCTTTTATTATACAATCATCATTATCACTCTCTTCATTCTCTGTCTCCTAATTAACATCAGCATAATATAAGGATCTTACATCGGCTACCAGTACAGACCGGAATATCAAGCCCGAGGGTAACTGTCTACAGCGGTAATGAGGATCTGCCGATTAACTTCCGCTTAACAGTCACCCAAGAGTTAGATATTCATGTATGTGACGACAGCCGTTGTTTGGTTCTTTTTCATGCACATCAAATATTAATAATAATACGGAAAGAAATTACGAAAACAAGCATTTTCATGCAACACTTTTTTCTTATAATAGCATATGAATGGCGTCATTTAAAACGCGCGATCTGTCTTACACGGGGGTGAGGGAGTAGGTAAGACAGGTATTTTTTCATCGGTATCAACAGTATATAAATAACACATGGGTTTGTGGGTAACAGTAAAAATATCATCCCGAGGAAAATACTGTTACCCGAGGCGTAGCCGAGGGTAACAGTATTTTTACGAGGGATGATATTTGTACTGTTACTCACAAACCCATGTGTTATTTATTTTATTACCCCGAATAAAAATACTGAGATGATCTGAAATTGTCAACTAAATCTAACTGTAATAAAAATAAACCAAGAGTAACAATAACAAAACTGTCCTTACCTTTTAAGTTTTAAGTGTACTTTACTGTAGGCCTACTTGAGAAGTTTTCTTTTTCTTTTATTCTTTAAGCAAGTGATGATATCTACAAATCATAAACATACAATAAGCTAGGTTTTATTTAGGAAACAAAACACTAACCCATTTACACGGTTATGATCTGTGAAATCTGATCCTTCTGTTTCAAGAATATTCTTTGCATGGTTTTTGACAAAATAACGATGATATCCTATGTCCACCATATCTGTAACGTTTCACTGATTAAATTTGTTAAATAATCCTTTGTTGCATGCTTAAATCTTCTGCATGTTTCAGTTTGACACATAATTATTTACATTTCAATCACTTCCGTTGAAAACGGATGTTCACTTTTTGACTATTGAGCAAAAAGATATTTTATACGCGAAAAGCACACCAGGGTACAAACAACTAAATTTTACAAGTGTCATAGGGACTCCAGAGGAGAAATTGATGTCCTATCGGGGTTTAACGTCGAAAATAAGAATGAATCGAGAGAAAAAATGGCGGCCATCTTATTTCATTTTATTTAGGATATAGACCACGTGACTGCTTAAAAAATACTGTTACCTATGTAACAGTACAAAATTTTTAGTCACGTGGAACACTTGCATTAACAGTAAAAATAACTCCCAGAGGCCTATGGGAAATTAGCATTACGAAAAAAGTGAGGGGTAATAATATAAAATCATGTCTCATATGCAATAAGGAGTGGGATTTAAGCAATTATTTTGAATATGTATTGCAATTTTTATTATCGTTTTGTAAATGATAGTCAATTACAGTAATCTGAACGTTTAACATTCTATTATCATCATCAACATCATCATTAGTATCATTATCATTTCTTTTGTCATACTGGTCATTTAATAACTTTACCTCAGATTCATTTTTTACTGTTTGCATTCATTTACAAAAAAAATACCAATCATACTAAATTTACGCATGTTTTATGTCTATTTTGACATTAACGTTTAATGAGTCACAAAGTTAGGTTATTCTTACCGATTTCACAATGGGATTAACTTTATCCAGTGTATGGGCGTAGACATTTTGTATTTTCTTCAGTTGGTTTTGCAGAGTGTTGTTCTTGGCTACTATTGCACTGCCACAAACTATGAAAAAATAAGCGTTAATCATAAAATCACGAACATGTTTTTTCTTTTGTTTTGCCTGTTTTTGTCTTGTTTTTAACTCATTTTTTTCATGTCACAGTAGTCGGTTACAGGCTTTCCTTGATAACTAACCAATAACCATTTCTTTCTCTGCAGATGTTTGATAACCCATATGATTACTGAGGGACGAATGGCCACTTGACTAATGATCCAGATCAGTTTAGAAATTTGGCAACGCCAAAGGCTCGAACCACCAACCCCTGGATTAGAAATCTAATACTCTTGCTACTTAGCGGGTTGACTCTGTAAAAAGCCAGTGTACAATCGAATTACCAAAGCCAGTGTACGTCAAATTACTAAATTACTTAAAGCATCGGAATATAGTAACGGTAAAAGCAAAACATTTGCCTTAAATTCCTTTGTTAGAAAATCATATTTTATAGTATAAAATATATCATCATATATATTAATACCTGCTGTGAGAACTTCATTTTCTGTTGGAAGCAGTAGCGGTCTACAGGATGCACATTGCTGCATGCATTGTTTAACCTTTGGATCAATCACTTCGCGCTTCCTTCGTCGTTTTCCGAAGATATCTAAACGAAAAAGAAATAAATAGATGGACGGAGGTAGTTTGGGTATTCAAACAATCAATAAATCGTGTATGTTCAGAAAGATTTGTTACTCTCCGTAGCTTTATTAATTATATCCCACAAAGAAAGAAATATGTTGTCAAAAATTGTCGAGTATGAATAATTTCAAGATATAACTGTCAAATCTAATGCCAAATAAACCCCATTTCAAGCTGCTTAAGACAAAGAAATAATGATATCTGGTACAAAAATTTTACAATATATAGTGAATGACTTAAATATTTATCACAATAGCTCGGACATTACACATAAAAATAAACTATACACTGTATGTACATACATTATTTCATTAAAACCTAAAACAGCTTTGGAAAATGGTGGTTTCATATTTTTGGTCGAAAAAAAATGTAAACAGCAAATATAAAAATTACCTTTCAAATCTTTCAGTTTATCTCCAATGAGTGAGGCAGTATTGATTTTGAAATCGTTGATGTCTTTGTCAAGCTTTTTCAGACTATCCGCAGCTTTTTGAATTCCGATTTGTATTTGTTTAAAAAGAAACTAGAAGACAAAGTAATCTTGTTTAATTACAAATTTTCATTGAGTTAACTCAAATTATTTAAATAACACCAAAAGAATGGATTCCTTGTGGGAAAATCATGCGTTTTTTTTATTTCACCGAAATGTGCTTGATAAGAGAAAACATTATTTACATAAAAGAGAAAAATAGCCGTCATAGCATATCCATTTTTTACCATTCAACAGATTGTTCATGGTATTGCTTATGTCTCTGAAACAATCAAATAAAACAAAGGCAAACATGTAAAGTATTCTAGGCAAGCCATAATATATTTCAGAAACCAACAAACTATCTCTTCCCTTTTCCCTTATCATTGCTAAATGACAAAGAGATATCGGACTTTTTCATTTGTATCTGTTGATGTATTACGATGATCTTTATCCTTAATGTTATGATGATGATGATGATGATGATGACGACGACGATAATGATGATGATCATGATGATTTTAAATGTGATGATGATGATAAATTTAATGCTGATAATGGAAATGGTGATGATAATGACGATGATGTTGATGATGATGATATTGATTCTGCTTATAAATGTGATGATAATGATGAACGACAAGTATTATACTACCTCAAAGTCTTCTTGCGGCAACTTGAGCGACTTGAAAGCAGTGCTTAGGTCTTTGAAGAAGTTGATAAAACCACCTGCTTTGTCTCCAATTAATTCTACAGCAACATCAACTTTCTTGCCTATTTCATCTAGTGTTCCCTTCAGATTTGTATGTGGATTCGCGAGATTCAAAATGTCTAGGAATGTCGGCGATTTTCTGTCAAGATACATTTGTTTCAATATTAACATTTATTCATTTTGAAAGATATTAAAGATTTTATTTTCTGATGAATTTCCACTTGACACATGCACTTGATTTCACATTTTTAATCACTGTTACTTCAATGTTATTCGTTAAAGTCGGGTTAATGAAGCTAATAGGGTTTCATATATTTGTTTACCAATCTTACAAGCTCGTATGATAAGAGTTTTGAATAGTAGACGTATAGTCAAAAGTACACAACTATACACTTATCTTGTTAGAGTTTAAGTACAAAATGTAATTCACGCAAGGCATCTCAAAATAGTGGCAGTGTTTATATTATATTTCTCGCATCGAGCTGTCGGTGTTATTTTAGACGCAACCATTTAAGAATGTCAGATCAATTAATAAAGAATATAAATCGATATGAAAATTGGTGTAATACTTAACTTACTTGCATTTACTCAGTGCACATGACTTGCATAAGTTTACTTGTGACTCTATTTTGAGTTTACAAGCGTCTACTAAAGGCGTCAGTTCATTACTGGCCTCAATAGTATTATTAACCTCGACTGCAACTTGTTCTAGAAGTGTTTGCCGGAATATTGAAAGAAATACTGAAAATTGTAAGAAATCTATGAAAAGCTTTATACAACATATGCGAAATGTTTTATAAATTACCGCAATTTTATGTTCTGGAATTATCTTAATCAAGTAAGTTTTCATAGCAAATTCTCCTCTTAGCTCTGCTACATACAGAAACCTCAATGTCGGACGTTCATATAGCACCCTTCCAGTTTCAGTGATGGAGGCGGACCTTACGTACTTTATTATATGTTATTTAGGGACCAGGTAGGCAGTTGAGTAGAAACCACACAGATTTTGTAAAAGCTGGCTTGATATATATCAAAACGCTTAATTCCTTATTTAAGTCATTAATCATAAACACTATTGATAAGCAAAGCTATATAACGAAATACAAACGCTTTGAAGATATTTGGTAAATTGTTTAAAAGTCTAAAAAACGGATATTGCTATAATATATTTCAAACAAACGGCAGACATATTAAGCGACATTCAGTAAGAATAAGTGAAACCTCTTACAAACCTTTAAAGGAATCCGGACTGATTGGTGTAAATTGCCCATAAGTACTTACAGTCACAAAACACACTAGAAATAGCCCTGATAAAATCATTGCTCCCTGTTATTATGAATGCTCTGTGTAAGGGTGTATCTTCCGAGTAGCGGTCAGCTAAGTAAAACGCTAGAAGTTAAGAGAAAGTAAAATATGCCCCATGAAAATGTTTCTTCTTTTAGATATACAAAGCAAAGTCAAAAAATATAAATTTAGTATAAACAATATTCAAAATGAAAGTTTTTTATTTTGTCATCAGAAGTCAATTCGTTTTATTGAATACGATTGACAATACGCCGTCGAGTATATTTATACACAATATGTGTGTAGCGAGCCATAAAGAACGTGAAAACAAAAGTATCCTTTACGTCAACGTAACAAAGGTAAGGCATACGAAATGTTATCATTTTACGGTAACGAGACGTTACGTTAACACAATGTTCATGGTAAACGCCGCAGTCTTGTCTTGTTATTATGTAAATTTCGAGTATTATAAACCTATACATTAATTTAAAAAGAGGAAACGATGATTAAAACCATTCTATGTTTACAATAAAACGGTTGTCACGTGTCGCTCATCTATATTGTATGAAATCCTGAAATAATTTAATATACTTACTTTAATATACTTACTTTGGTTCTCAGAATTTTGCTGACGGTCCCTTATATACATATTTTGTAAGTTTAAATAACCCGAGGGTTAGTTGAAAAAGTAAACAGTTCTATTAATTAACACGGCCATTTAACGTCATTTAAAATAATAATGAGCCGCCTTTAGCCATGAAATAGGATTTATTTCCTACACGAATTGCAACATATTGTTGTACATGTTGATGACAAATAAAAATTATAAAAGAAAATTTTGTGGAAATCTGTGAAAGTTCATTAACCCTTTACTTCATATTCAAAACTTGACTTCCCAGCCATGCACTCACACAAGCTGTTACCCGTAATACCCGAGAAGAAAAAGTTAATAGTAGTTTTAGCTGTGTTAATATGACTCTTCTAAAGATACTAGGACATACTGGGCAAATAGGCAGGCTAATATAGGGACATACCACCCTATCCTTCCCACCAACGGATCACGGGTTCGAGCCTGTTGGGTGACGATTACCTTTACTCCTAGTAGACATTTTTTGACAGTAAACAGTAAAATACATTTTGCAATAACTGTTTTAACTATGCAAACAAAATCAATAATCCAAGTGACCCACGGCAATAATCTGTAAATTTCGACCGGAATGAATCATGTTTTTATGAGAGTTGGGTAGTCTATTTTATATCTTTATCCTAAACATTTTTCACTGTCATTAAAAGTCAATCTCTTGAAATAAACTACGTATTAAACTGAACTTGACAGTTAAAAAATCATGTCACTAAATTGCTAATAATAAAAAATACCCAGAACGTTTTGTAACTGACTGGCCAAATTGGAAAAAAAAAACTATTCTAGCGGTTTGCAAAGGTCAATGACATTGTAATTTCCACTTGTTGATGAAACCATCTGTTTCATATATTGAAAACATATTTCAAAAAGCTTAAAGCTTTGATATTCATCATCATACTAGATGATAAATTGAAATGTAATTTATTTTCAAAAATAAACAAAAATAACTGATGTTCATCGTACTATCCAAATTGAAAAAAAGTATCTATTCTTGCGGTTTGCAAAGGTCAATGACATTGTAATTTGAACATTTTGTTTCATACATCACACACATAGTTCAAATAGCTTAAAAGTTTGATATTCATCATAATGGTTGATAACTTGAAATGCAAGTTATTTTCGAGAAAACAAAACAACAAAAACAACTTATGTTCATCGTTTACACCCGTAAGCACTTACAATTTAATATAAGTGCAGGTAACTTTTTGCCTGTCCTAAAAATTCACTTTTACGCTCTTAAAAGTATCAATTAGATAATTACTCAATTAACGTTAATACACAATCACATGTACGTATCAAGGAACAAAATTGTATATTTGTATCAATAAAAGACCCGAGATTTCAATAAAAGGGATATTGGTCCTTATGTAGTAGATACAAGCCGAAAACTGTCCATAATGTAAAGTATTGAATTTAATTATGCCCGGGTTATATTTTCAAAGAACTGTATATATATATATATAGTATATATATATATATATATATATATATATATATATTATATATATATATATATATATATATATATATATATATATATATATAATATATATATATATATATATATATATATATATATATATATATATATAACCATTTAACTTGTCAACGAACATTATATTTTATGTTAAATTAACATCTCTTTTAATTCATAGCAAACTCGTGTTATTATGTTTATTCTTTATAAATTTCAATGCCTAAGATCTGTTGTTATTCTTTGATAAAAAGGACAAAAGCATTTGAATGTAGTTACACAAATGTTGTTTGAGTTTATTGTTTGGTGTTGATTTTGTTGTTTTTATTGTTGTGTTGTTGTTGTTGTTGTTATACATTTATTTATACATCCATCAGTTTAATGAAAATGCAACTGCTCTTTCAGAATGAACGAGTATTCTTTATCTTTTTCGTGGTACATCCGCTCTTTAAGACCACACGAGTATTTTGGCGGGAATCTTTAACTAAAGATTACCTTATATTGAACAACTTGTGACTACTGAATTATAATTCAGAGAAAGAACTAAAGTTTGTTTAAGTATCAATACTACATTGTCATTTCGTCAAGTTAGGACTTGTGTCTTTTTTTCTTAAGTGACATTTTAGGGGGGTGGATAATGCATTAGGAAATATTATTAGCCATTTGTTGTCCGTATCTGAACATACTCGGCACATGTATCATATTTCCAAAAATATATTACATCAGGATATATTATCGATCAGCTTCATTGATGTTCAGAAATAGTCGACAGGGACAAATCGAACACAACGTTTTCGTCCAATGTGTAATATGTAGAAACTTTAAAGACACATTATGCCTCAGAAGCAAATAAATTTATACTTATAGAAAGGTATCACAAAGAAATATACTAAATTAGAATGCAAATGGTGGCTTTGTGCGACTCTTTGCCTGATTGGAGTAAAAGCTTTTATTTTGTGTCATTATCCCCAATGAAAATAAGTATTTTAGAAAAAAAAAGAGTTGGCGAATGATCTGAAATCTGCACCAGATCTACATTGAATGTTACATATACCAGGGTTGTCCCAAAATGTTGTATATTGAAAATATATCTTAGTCCCGTAGTGTCAAGAAACCTCAGTCGATCCTCAACTCAATAAAAACAAGAGAAAGAAAATTGTTATTTTTATACTTATTTATTCATAATTGATTTTAAAATACAAAATAGTACAGAAGAGGAAGAAAAACAATAATATGAATATACGCAGTGCAATAATGGTGTTTTATTATATATATGATGCTCAAATTAAGATAAGGATATAACCAATAAGGATATTACCAAATTTAACATTTTATGTAAATAAAGAGAGGTAATAAAAATATTTTCTGTAAAGACTAAGTCAAATATTTCGATAAGAAATGAATGCATATATATAAATGATTACATATAATATGTACAGATACTTGCAGTACGTATTATTCATATTCTTCGATGTTTGAAAATTGTTATATAAGCATTATTATATACATATATACATTTTCATTTAAGTGTGGTGTACAACCTCAATTACAACTTACAGGTTATTTAATACCAAATACATGTATGAAGACTGCTGACAAGAGCATTCTAAAGCAATTGAATGACAAGCTTTTAAACACTAAAGGCCACTGTGATCCAGTGACTTCAAAATCAATAGGGGGGCACAAAATGGTCATGATATGCCAAATATGAAGACTGTAGGTCACAGGGTTCTTACATACGTTATTGGCGGACAAGCTCTTTTGAAATCAAAGCTCCCTGTCACCTTGACCTCTTACCCAGTGACCTCAAAATCAGTAGGGGTTATCTAATGGTCATGGCTAACCACCATTACAAATATGACGACTGTGGGTCAAAGGACTAACTTAAGTTATTTGGCAGACAGACTTTTTGAAGTCAATGCCCTTATGACCTTGACCATTTTTACCTATTGACCTTTAAAGTCAATTTGGGTCATATACAAGTCTTAACCAACCTCAATATCAAATATGAAGACGGTTGACAAAAGCATTCTAAGGCAATTAAGCGGACAATCTTTTTGAAATGTAAGGCCCTGTGACCTTAACCTTTCACCAGTGACCTCAAATTCAATAAGGGTCATCTAATAATCATGCCTAACATCCATGTCAAATATGAAGAATGTGAGTCAAAGGATTCTTAAGTTACTGGGTGGACAAGCTATTTTAGCCAAGGTCCCTCTGGCCTTGATCTTTGACCTAGTAACCACAAAAAGTATTTGACAGACAAAGAAAATCCGACGGACGGCCAGACGACCGTACGGACAAGCTAATTCCAGTAACTTTGTTGTGTCCCGGGAAAGTAAAATAACGCCCCTTCTTTGTGCATTTAAAAATTTTCATGTAAAAATTAGTTACAAAAATTTAATGATTAAACCATCTTTCAAAATGATTAAAAAGCAATTTCCAAACTTATGTTTTCATTAATGTAGGCGGGATTAATAAGTTTAATACATTTTGTAGAAACTCGATATTTTGTTTACACAATTGAAGATTTTTTTTCCATTTCATTTTTTGTGGAAGTGTTTACCTTTGTCTGTTGTTATGATAACAACCGCTCAGGCCAACAAGTTTACAATGTTAAAGTTGTTGAGAATTGAGTACCGCTCAAGCCGGTGCTTTAGGGGGCGTGAGGGAATGTTTGCACTTATTCATTATTCCTCATGTACAAGACTCAATCAAACCGAGTCTGGCAATTCTTAAGTTTTTATTTTGTTGTGATTAATGCTTCCGAGGGATCACTTTGTTTCCAAGAATTTTTTAATTCCCTATACCATAGGCAAAAAATAGAAATTCAAAGTTCCCGACCCACTTTAAATCACCCGCCCAAACAGTTCGACCTGTGGATTAGTGAATTTGTATCTGTAGACGAGATTTCGGCAAGGCTACTACAGAGGTCTTGGTTTGGGGATCAAACAACGCGTGTGGTTTTTAAGACTGCTCAAA